AGGCTGGTGTCGAACTCACAGAGATCTGCCTGCCTCTGCCTCCCGAGTGCTGGGATTAAAGGCGTTCGCCACCAACGCCCAGCAATTTCGTGAAATTTTTGAGAGCTAGGATGGAACCCAGGCCTTGTGTGTGCTAAGTAAACATTCTACCACTGGGCCATATTCTTGCACGCAGTGAAGTTTTTGATGGCGGGACTGGAGGCCGGCCTCCCCGGCAATGGCCAGAGACCCTGCACAGGCTTCCGGGCGGCACAGGCTCTCTCAGCTCTCAGAGCGGTGTTCTGCGCACTTCCGGCCCTGGCAGGCCCGGCGGCCTCGTGGGTGTGAAGGGAGCCACAGCCCGATATCCACGGCGCGGGGAGCCGGAAGTGACCTCCTAGCAGGAACCCGCCAAGGCCACCGCACCCCGGAAGGAACAGAAGGAACCGAAGGAACGTCCTCCACTCATTCGCTGTTACCCTGACATGGCAATGCCGCTTCGCCTCTGGCCTGGGCGAGTTTAGCCTGTGTGGATTCCAGTAAGCTGCGTGTGTGTCAGTAAACTGCGTGTGTGTCAGAATATACACCCCACTGCTCTCTGACTTTGCCCATGCCGTGTTTAGCCTAAAGATGACTCTGTTTTCTTGCAGGTGTTGCCGTTGAGGAGGCCTCGCCTGGAGATGGCCGCATCCAAAGAGGCCGTCCCTTCCTTAGCCGATTGTCAGTGTGGCATCTGTATGGAAATCCTGCTGGAGCCGGTAACCCTTCCTTGCAACCACACGCTCTGTTACCCCTGCTTCCAGGCAACCGTTGAAAAGGCCAACCTGTGCTGTCCCTTCTGTCGCCTCCGGATCTCTTCGTGGGCTCGGTACCACACTCGAAGAAATTCTCTGGTCAATACAGACTTGTGGGCGATTATTCAAAAACACTATGCAAGGGAGTGCCAGATGAGAATCTCTGGGCAGGAATCGAGGGAAATCGATGGTGACGACCAACCGTGCCGCCAGTTAAGTAAACCTGGAGAGTTGAGACAAGAATATGAAGAGGAGATAAGCAAGTTGGAGGCCGAACGACAAGCCATCAAGGAAACTGAAAACAAAGCCAGTGAGGAGTACATACAGAAATTGTTGACAGAAGAGGAGGAGGAGGAGGAAAAACAACGGATGGAAAAGAGGAGACGTGAGATGGAAGAACAGCTGAAAGGAGACGAAGAACTGGCAACGAGGCTCAGCGTCAGTAGTGACAGTAACTATGAGCAAAATATCTTGGCTTCTCCTTCGACTTCCGGAAAATCAGATGCAGTCAAAAACAAGTCACAAAAGAAAAGTACAAGAAAACAAAGACACTTTGGGTGTATTCAGAAACATTTGTCACCTACATTGGCGTCTGGGTCAGCATGGCCATGTGAAGCTGTCCTTGGAGAGGATAATAGCTGCATATCCAAGAACAGCCCTGTGTGCCAAGACACTGAAAAGGATATGCCAACCCTTCCTCTGAAGATATGCCTAGAAACTCAAGAACAAGGTTCAGAGTCTTTGGCAGAGTCACCTGTGCCATGGTTATGTGCCAGGGGTGCAGAACAGCGCCTTGAAGGAACACTACTGATCAACAGTGATGATGAAGCTACAGTTAAGCCTTCTGGTAAAATAGAAAATGAAGATGCCTCTGTGTCAGGTGTGACCCAGTTAGCTGGCAGTTACACAGCTCCAGAAAGTAGTGGGCATCATCTAGTAGTTGGAAAAGAGATTTCTGAAAGAGAAAACCAAGATTCTGTGTTTGAAGCAGGCATGGATCCATGCTCTTCTGCAAAAACAAGCAACGTGTTCCCCGAATCCTCAGATCAAGAAGAGGAAGAAGTGAGTTTCATACAAAAACTGATAGAATTGGAACACATGTTTTTTGAGAGACATAAGCAAGAAGAACAGGACCGATTGTTAGCATTACAACTTCAGAAACAGATGGATAAAGAACAGAAGATGATCAACCGACAGAAAGGATCCCCCGGTCAGTATGACTTGCGCACATACTCAGAACCAGACAGGCAGCTGCATAAGCAGAGGAAGAATTCCAAAGATACGACTTCATAAAGCTGACTAATTCAGAGCATCCAAAATCTCAGAAGAGCGCAGAAGATGAATATTGGCAACCTTTTAAAAGCACATGGAAGGTTTCAGTTAGTGGAAGAAAAATGTTAAGTTCTACTAAAGATGACTGTATCTAAACCCACTTACTACCTACAGTCTAGTTAATTCACAAAAAAGTATTATCCAAGTATTTCAGAGATAAACCAAGCAAAGCATGGCTAAAGAGAGCGTTCTGTAGTCTTTTAAAGCTGTATTGTAAAGCTAGCACTTTTTTTTTTCATTTTTCCAGACAGGGTTTCTCTGTATTATTTTGGAGCCTGTCTTAGAACATGCTCTTGTAGACTAGGCTGGCCTCGAATTCATAGAGATCAGCCTGCCTCTGCCTCCCGAGTGCTGGGATTAAAGGCCACCAATGCCTGGCAAGATAACTCATTTCCATCATAAAATCTTGCAATGTCTCATTAACTTCTGCTCAGCAAGCATACCTACTACAAAGGTAGAGTCTACAAATATGATTCTGCAAAAGTCAGTGATAAAGGTCCTTAAGAATAGTTTCCATGTGTTAACTGTGACCGTCATTTTTTTTGTTTTTGTTTTTTTTTGTTTTTGTTTTTTTTGTTTTTTGAGTCAGGGTTTCTCTGTGGCTTTGGAGACTGTCCTGGAACTAGCTCTCATAGTGAAAGACCCCTGGAGGCTCAGGCCCCCAGGACCACCACGACCCCAATCTCCAGGCGGAGGCAGAAACTTGATGCAAACAGCAAGAGGTTTTATTGCAGTTGTTTAACGAGCTAATACCATGTTAGCTCAGGCCTTTCATCCATCCACCATGGTGGATGACTAGGAGAGACTTCGAGAAGCCACTGCATAGAGATCTTATAGGGCAGCATAAGGGGAGTGTCTAGGGGTATGCACAGGCTCAGGATTGGTGTGCCTCCAGGCTTCCCATGTGTTGATTGGCCAACTGGTTGTTATGGCCCATTGGCCCTCCCAGGGCGATTGCTATGCTCTGCTCGTCATTCCTGTGCACTTGTCTGTAAAGCACCACCCGGCTCACTGTGACAGTCTTTACAAGAATAAAATGTAAAAAACTCAATGGATTCTTATAAGTTCCAGGAAGTGAATTGGACCCACCCAAACAGGTCAGATTCACCCCAGATAAATACCATTCAACCTTTCCCTGGTCCTGGGACTCCCTACCCTCATCTTTGAACCCCCTCAGGAACCAACCCCTCCCTCATTTTACAATCTTCCTCCCCTCAAGTACCAGGACCTAAGAAAAGTTCAGGATCTCCATCAAGTAGTTGACAAAAGGGCTGCTAGGTTGTTAACACAAAAGGGTTTAAGAGTGGGATGGAGCTGACTGGTGGGCTGGCTCTTAGGGGTCACTGGAACTGTAACCTGGGTCCACAATGAGCACTGGATTTCTTGTGGCAGAACCCTTTTTTATTTTATTTATTTATTTTTTGCTTTGTTTTTCAAGACAGGGTTTCTCTGTGGCTTTGGAGGCTGTCCTGGAACTAGTTCTTGTAGACCAGGCTGGTCTCAAACTCATAGAGAGCCACATCCCTCTGCCTCCAGAGTGCTGGGATTAAAGTCATGTACCACCATTTGTCAGCTCCCTTTTTTTTCTAGAGACAGGGTTTCTGTGCATTGCTTTGGAGCCTGGCCTGGAACTCGCTCTGTAGCCCAGGCTGGCCTACAACTCACAGAGATCCACCTACCTCTGCCTCCTGAGTGCTAGGCCTAAAGGCGTGTGCCACCACTGCCAAGTTCATGAACCCTTTTTTAAGTGACAGAATATATTTTGGATTTTCAGCTTTTCACACCATGGTATCTTGGCAAGTACTGGCTTAGTTTTACTGATCTCTTCTAGAAAACACGAATTTACTGTAGGAAAATTATACTGTGGGCTTCTATTGAATGCTGTGTGATACCACCCTTATTACTTACTGGCTCAGACTTTTGTGTTTGTGTGCAGAGATAGAAAGTGATATGTGGGGTTTGCCCAGGCTTGCCCTCAAAGATAAATTCAAAGGGAACTGACTATCTTGTTAAATTTAACTTTTACTACTATCTTTCCTTTCATTAAGATGAACAACTTTTAGCATATCATAGTTCCAGTAGTATTTCTTCTGGTGTCCTGGCATCCATTTACTATGAACATAGTGAACTGTCCTGGTGCAGTGCTTGGCTTGATACACATTTTCATCATTTGAGCTTTTTTTCTTCCAAGTTTTGAGATTGTTTTTATGTTTTTATTGGCATATTTTTTCCTAAGATCAATTTAATACTTTAAGTGTAAAAACTCAAAATTGAAAGTTATCACATTGAATCTTTGTGGGATAGTTCATGACCAAAGGGAAGAAGAAAAAGAGTGATATGGTTAGAATTCATGTATTTCTCTACGGGCTTGCCCGTGGGGAAGTCATCGTGACTGAAGTTGGCTTTGAGATTTGTTGTTTCTCATTTAGCCTTTCTGTTATTCCTACTGTTTATGTCTTTGTGTTAGAGAACATTACATTTTGTATTAGTCAATAGTGAACTCTTCTTTTCCTCATTTTTGTGGAAAATATTTAATTTTATCAGAATATTAAAGCTGTGAAGATGTTTAAAATAAAAAAATTTAAGGGCTGGAGAGATGGCTCAGAGGTAAAGAGCACCGAATACTCTTCCAAGAGGTCCTGAGTTCAATTCCCGGCAACCACATGGTGGCTCACAACCATCTACAATTTAATCTGGTGCCCTCTTCTGGTGTGCAGATATACATGGAAGCAGAATGTTGTATTCATAATAAATAAATAAAATATTAAAAAAATTAAAAAGTGAGTGGACATGGTGCTACATATCTAAATATTACCAGTACTTGGGAGGAAGGCGCATCTCTATGAGTTCTAAAAATATATATAATTAATTAATTGAAAGATGATTAATAAAAAATCCTGGGACTCTACTCTAGACAGGGTTTCTATATGAATTTTAAAATATGATGCTCTCATGCTTGCAATAGTAGCCCTCAGGAGAGTCGTGAGAATCAACATGAGTTTAAGGTCAGCCTGAGCTTCTAACCTGGTGTTCTATGAGAATGTCTAACTAGCTTATGGCATTCTGAGATAGAATGTAAAACCCTATCTCAGGAAAAAATACAATGCTCCATACCGTTTTAAAAACATTCCCCAAATTTCATGAAACTTGTGACATTACTGGGACAGTGTCTTTGCAGATAGTATCACACTGAAATAAGGCCATACGGGGCTGTAGAGATGGCTCAGGGGTTAAGAGCACTGACTGTTCTTCCAGAGGTTCTGAGTTCAATTCCCAGCAACCACATGGTGGCTCACAACCATCTGTAATGTGATCTGGCACGCACTGTATACATGATAAATAAATAAATCTAAAAAAGAATGCAAATACCACTGCGCATAAAATAATTTAAAATAAAATAAGGCCATATTATGTCAGGCTATGTCCAATCCCATGACTGGACAAGAATCAATTAAAGCTAGGTCCTGTTGCACATGCTTTAATTCCCATGACTCATGAGCTTAGGCAAAGCCAGCCTAGACCATAGTAAGACCCCAGGTCTCAAAAACAAAAGATGACAAAAGAAAACAGAAAGCAATTCGGACACACAAAGAAAGTACACACAGAAGCAGTCATAAATCTACAAGGCAAGAAATGTTCAGGTTGAGGGTGTGGCTCAGTTGGTAAAATGTTAGCGTGCATTCATGCAGCCTTGTGTTTCTACCCTAGCACAATATACTGAGTGTGGTGGTGTGGGCCTATATCCCCAACACTAGGGAAGTGAAGTTAGAATGAGAAGTTGAAACTCATCCTTGGTTATACAAGGAGTTTGAGACCAGACTGGGCTGGCTTCATGAGACGCTGCCATAACAAAAAAGTCAAGGATTGCAAGCCAGCAGTGGTGCTGCACACAATTAATCCCAGAACTCGGGAGGCAGAGAAATGTAGAACTCTGTGAGTTTGAGACCAAAACTGGTCTACAGAGTGAGTTCCAGGACAGGCTCCTAAAGCTATGGAGAAACCCTTGGTCTGGGGCGGGGGGGTGGGGGGTGAAGCCAGGCATTGGTGGTGCATGACTTTAATTCCAGCACTTGGGAGGCAGAGACAGGCCGATCTCTGTGAGTTCGAGGCCAGCCTGGTATACAGAGTGAGTGCCAGCACAGCCTCCAAAATAACACAGAGAAATACTGTTTCAAAACACCCCCCTCCCCGAAAAAAATGTAAAGGATTGCAACCACCAAAAGAAGACATAAGAACTCGGCTCTGCCAATATTTTGATTCTATACTTCTTGCCTGAAGAATTGTGAGGCAATAAATTTTAGTTGTATTACACCACCTAATTTATAATATTTTGTTAAAGTACTCAGAGGAAATTAATAATACACTACGTCCATTTTTTTAAAAAATATTCTCCCTGTGATAGTTTAAGGTTCTATCCATATTACAATGTGTGCTCATCTTGCTTGACATCCTGAGTTTCTTTCGTAGCACCATGAAAAACTCGGGGCCCCTGAACTGATGAATCAGTGGTTAGGAGCTCATATTGCTCTTCCAGAGGACCTGAGTTTGATTCCCAAAAAACATGTCAGATAATTCACAACCACCTGTAAGTCCACCTGGGGTGCGGGGCTCTGACACCTCTGAGCTCTGCAAGCACCTGCACTCATGGGCACATCCACACAGATATAATTAAATATTATTAAATAAATCTTAAAATTCCAAATATACAGCCAGTGTTGAGCACCAATGAACTAAATAATGATTTTAGCAATCTGTTATAACCATGAACCACAGGAGAGGAAAGGGCTTTTATCTTATAACTTGTAGTCCATCATCCAGGGAAGTCAGGGTAGGAACCTGGAGTCTGTAGCTGACATGGTGGCCATGGGAGAGTGCTGCTTACTCACTTGCTCTCCATGGCATGCTCAGCCAGCTCTCTTAGAGTTCGAAGGACCACCATCCCTGGTGTGGCACCAGCTATAATGGGCTGAGTCTGTCCACATCAACCATCAATCAAGAAAGTGCACCACAGGCTTGCCCACACACCAATCTAGGGGGTGCATCGTCTCAAATAAGGTTCCCTCTTCCAAAATGACTCTGGCTTGTGCCAAGTTGA